GGGCAAGTTGCATGGATGCCCTCTCTTCTTTTTCGTTTTTGTTGAAATTCGTTGGGCCGCTGCCAGGAAAGTCCCCCGCCGACGATTAAGTGACCGCGCCTTAGCGAGCGTGAGAAATAACGGTTGTCATGGCTCCTTTCTTGTTCTGCTGTGAGCACTAGGAATTTTGGCGTGATTAGCGCGCGAGAATTTTTGTTTTTCGAATTCGAACTAATGTCGAGCCCCTGCGGCCTCTCGGAATTGTTTTTCTATCTGAATTTCCTTTTGCAATTAGGATTTAGACTAGGAATTTAGGCAACTTGCAATTCGGCTGACGACGCTTCTTGCTCGCACGCGCTGTGCCTCGACAGGGTCAGGGCTGTGATTTCCATCTGCGCCTTAATCTCGTGTGTAACTGTAGCTTTTGGCGGGCATAATCGCAACTGTAATCTTTTTGTTCTTGATGGACTTGTGTTTCCTTCTTTCCCGCCTTGTCTGCGCATGCACACTTTCTTCCTTTGTTCTAAGTGGTTCCCACGTTTGCATGCCTGGATCGATGCGCAGAAAATGGCTCTGTCCCCCGTGCCACGGCCTGGACATGCAAACATAGGCACTTCCTCTCTTCCTTTGCTTAGGCATGTTGCCGAATTCATCGCGCAAGCAGGCATGCTATAAATTTCGCAAGCGCGATTAGTTGCTCTCTCTAAGAATCTGGAGGTTAGCGCGATCAGTGAGGGTCGGCTAACGAACAAGTTCGGAAAGTGAGTGAGTATGAGAGTTGGGCGATCCGACGAGCAGGTGTCGAGTATATGGTGTTGACGTGCGGGGCCGCGACAGACTGTGGCGCACGGGCGAACCTGGCTTGCATGCCTAAACCAAGCGGGGTGAGAACTCTGCGTTGATACGCGGCTACAGACTGCCAGTATCGGGGGCGTTTCAGCCCATCGCCCAATCATACGTGTGTAATTAGTGAGCCTTTTCAGCGTTGGCAGTGGCTCATGGTCACTCACAAGAAGAAACTTATGTCCGTAGAAATACGGATGAAAGTGCTGGATTCCCCAGACCATGGCGTAACATTCGCCTTGGGGGGCCGAATCATTCCTTGGCTCATCTGGCATCATGCGTGATGCGTATTCGATGACGTGTTCACGACCGTCACTCCCCTTTTGTGCTTGAATGGCGGAAATCGCCTTCGATTGCCAGTCCGTAATGAGAATGAACCGCTTTGTAGGGTCTGGCCGGATCAGAATAGGTGATGTGGCCAGGGCGTCCTTGAGGGTGGCGAAGGCCTGCTCGCACTCAGCGTCCCAACTGAGAGGCTGGTCCTTTCGCAGCAAGTTCATCAAGGGTCTTGCTATCGCAGCAAAGCCCTTGATGAAACGACGATAGTATGAGGCCAGTCCCAAAATGGCTCGAACCTGCGTCAGCGATGTAGGAACGGGGGCATCTTTCACCGCCGCGACCATTCTCGAATCTGGCCGCAGTCCACCCCGTGTTACCACGTAGCCCAGGAACGAGATCTTTGAAAGGAAGAACTTGCTCTTTTCGAGCGCGATCTTGAACCCAGCGTCTCTCAAAGCTCCCAACGTCCATTCGATATGCTGCGTGTGCCCGTGAAAGGTCTCTGAGTAGACCAGAATGTCCTCCATGTACACGATAACGCAAAAGTTGATCATCCTCTGAGTTAGCCGCGTCTTGTTGACGAAGTTTTGAAAGGTCACGTTTATGGCCCTGAAACGTGGCATGTGCGTTGCAAATCCTCAGGACACCGAACCCACTGGCACGTGCCTTCAAACAACACGAAGGCCGTTTTTGGTTGATCTTCCTCCTTAATCAGAATATGATTGAAGCCGTGGCGAATATCAAATTTACTAAAATAATTAGCACACCCAATCGCATTCAGCAAATCATCAGTCCGGGGAAGGGGATACATATCTTTGATCGTGATATCATTCAGTTTCCGGTAACCGATGCAGATGCGAATCGACCCATTCTTGTTCGGTACTAATACTACCGGAAATGGCCGTGGTCCAATGGCGGGTTCGATCGAACCATTAGCTTTGAACTCCCTAATCCGCTAAAGGGCTGTCTTCCGTTCTACCAGGGAGTATCTGTAGGGCTTAAAGTGGATCAGGGGATGGTTTCCAGTCTGAATCTCATGTTTTATGACCAACGATAGTCTGATATCAGTTTCTGTCACGCTAATCGCCCCTTGGTATTCCTTCAGAATGTATTCAATCAGATGATGAATTTCATCGGGTACGACATGGGGCACGTGTAGCTCATACGATTGATCCCATATCCGTACATCGATCTGTTTCGTACTTTCTCGCTTAGCAATTTCAGGCGGGGGTGCGAAAATAAACGAGCTATCCGATCGCCAAGAGAATACTGTTGCCATCATTTGTGCATCCTGCTCTCGAATGGCCACGTGTTCCTTTGGGGTCACTCCGTCGTGAATATCCTGCCATGACACGGGCCTCGTTGCGATTTTAATCCCGAGTCCGGTTTCGAGGCACTCAGGGGGTTCCAAAGAATTGGCCTCCGCCTCTAAGCGTAGCAATCGTATTTCTTTCGCCGGTGGCAAAAGTGATCGCACGAGGCTCGTGGTGTTACAAAAGTGTCTTTTGTCGTTGTATCGTGCAAGGAGCGGGGCGATACCTTCGTACAGGGTTCGAGGGGATTCCAAAGAATCGACCATCCTCGATATTTGCACGAGAGGTTCGCCCTGAATCATTGCTTGTGTCCTCTGCAAGTTTTGATCAGTCAGGTTCAGAGATTTTGCGTTCGTTCGTTGTGCAGGGTAACAAATGCGTTGTCGCGCTAACTCCTGAATTACCGCATCATCCTCTTCACTGTTGTCTACATCTTTCGATGATTGTTCATCGTTCCCGTTGTTTTCCCAGGTCATCACACGGAGAGTTCCCACCACTACCTGGGAGGCCTGCGGGGTTGTGTTAACAGTAGTTCGAAGAGTAAGTCTCATAGGTATGGTGTAGGGTTTTCCTCCCGTATTTCGGAGGACAATCGATTGTTTCTCGAAATCGAGATTGGCTCGCAAGGCCATAAGAATGGGCAGGCCTAAGAGAACGTCGTAAGTGTTTACATCCAATAGTACGACATCTCCCAAAGCGTGCACCTTTCCTAATCGAAACGCCACATTGGTCATTCGCCCTACTGTTTTGATTTTCTCTTCGTTTGCCGAAACTAGCTGCTCTTTTTCCGTAAGCATAATGAAATCTTTCTTTCTTTTTGCTCTTTCGACTACTCGTAGTGAGATAGCTAGGACAGCGGCTCCAGAATTGATAATGACATTGTACAGGACTCCCCATACTTCGATATCACATTCTGCGGATTTCCATGGGATCGCTTTGATCCGCAGGAAGTGATAATCTTTTTGGATAAGTCCCAAGCGTATGGGGTCCAAAGTGCCAGCAGCGTGCTCATCTGGCGTTGGACTTTTTCCTTTCGTGTTTGTTGTTCGGGCGAGGGCGAATCGTTTCTGATTCGCCTTGCAATGTTGCAACATTCGTTCGTTGGCTTGTTCTGATATCGAGAGTAAGTGACCAATCGGAAGAGGAATCCGATGATCTAGCTCCCGAACGATGTTCAAAACGTCTATTTCCCCAGTGACGAAGGTGGGTCCTCTCGACTCCATCTCTCCAGGAGACAGTCGCCACTCCGCCACTTCCTTTTGCTCTTGGGCGGGCCTGATTGTTCCGATCATACCCAATCCTGGGTAGCCAAGGTTCACGTACTAATCCAACGGGATAAGCTCAGTGGCTTCTTCCGTTGTAGCGAACGCACTTCCCACTCCTTCCATGTCTTCCATCAGCGCCCCTACTCGTCCTGGTCCGTTAGCGATCGGTGCTGCTGCTACCGGTGCAGCTCCGATCGTGGCTGAGGATGCCGATGGAGGCAATCTCGGGCTATGTGCCCTGGTTGATGACACGTGTAACAGACGTTCAGATTGCCAGGAACCCCTGCGGGAGGGGGTGCCGGAGCCAGCCCGTGTTGAATCGGGGCGGCACATATCGCTATTGGTCGCATCGACCTCATCATCGCCTCTATTCAAGCATTGTGTTCCCGCTGTTCCTTTTTGCTTTCCTGAATCCGATTAACCAGTGTTTTGGTTAGTTCCAATAAGGCGGAAGATTCATTCGGTCGTGCGGGACTTCCGATCGGAGATGGGGGTGTCGTCATTACGGGAACAGGCATGCCTGCAATCATACTCGGGACCGGTCGTTTGGGACTAATCTTTTCCAGATAGGTGACGGGGCCAAACACAAACCTCATGTTTTCAAATTTATTCTGAAGTGCGGCCAACTCAGCTTTGGCTCTTTGTTGCACGCTGGCCGTGGCCGAGTTCGGCCCGGGCGGCGGCAGGCGGCCTAGGCCGGGACCCCCCCGGCCGCGGCCGGCCTGGCCGAGTTTTTTCGGCCGAGGTGACGGCCGGTCTGGGGGGCGGTTTTCATGGCGGGGTGTGGGTTTGGGGTGGGGGAGTGGAGGGGCACCCCCTAAAAGTGATAGGGCTTAAAAAAAAATAAAAACGGGGGGGTCCAGCACAAGACCCTGGAAGGGTGGCCCGCGAAAAATCCAGCGGCCCCCGTGTGCAGGTTTGTCGATGCGGGGTCGCAGGGAGGAGGGTCTGGAACAGTGGAAAAAAAAAAAAAAAAATATTTGACCCCTGCTGGGGCGGCCCAACGTGGGTTGGATGAGGGCCTGGTTGGGGCGGGCCGTGCGCCCAGGCCGGGTCGAAGCTAGACGGGGCTGCAGATGGCAGACCCAGGCGGATCAGGGCCTCACGCACTGAAAGGTAGGTGTCGGTTTCATTAATGAGGGCGATGACAGTTCGTCGCTTATTTTAAAACAACACATTCATGGCAATCATAAGTCAGACCCTGTTTGGCATACTAATGTCAAAACACATTGCAAATCAATCACAGTGCGGCGAAGTTGGGCGAACCACAAGTTTCAAACAATGATAACATGCAAGTGTATCATAGTGTGTGTTCACTCATGAGACTAATAGACATTCATTAGTACATCATTTATGTAAGAACACATTCATTAGCACATCATCCCTATGTCGCATCTGAAATTAACAACACATTCATGACAACAGAGCAGAAAACAATCACCAAACAACAGCGACTCAGATGCAAGACCAATGTTGGCGGAGGAACAAGAACAAGAGCAAATATATGACAAAGCATTTTAATGGAAATGCGTATGTACAAGGCTAAAGCCAAAAACTGGACCCGTAGTCTCTACTCTAGAAACGAGTAGCAAAAAAAAAACATGACCCATCGTCTCTGCTATACAAAAGAGTACCAAAAAAAAGACTGGACCCATCGACGGGCGTCGTCTCTACAGTACAACCGAGTAGCAAAAAAAAAAAGAAAAAAACCCTAACGTCCACATACTATCGTCATCTCCATGGAACAACATCAACATAAATATTCTACAATCCTGTCGACAGAGCGTCCAGGCTGTACAGCCAAGGGGAAAAAAAAAACTAATGAAAAAAAAAAAAACACCACGGACGTCGTCATCTCCCACCAGAGCGCGCGTGGCCTCCCCCACCAGAGCGCGCGCGGGCATGCGATCCTCCCCGGCGCCCTCCTCTCCCTCCGGCACCTGTGCCCCGTGCCCCACTGACGTATGCCTCATGTGCTGCAGCGGCCGCTGCGGCCACCTGTGCCCTGTGTCTGCGGGCCGCACTCTCGATCGGCTCGGACTCAGTGTCTGCGTCCTCGTCCTCCTCCACCTATGCAGTAATCCCCCGCTCTCTCTCCCTCTGAATCACGTCCAACGCTGCCTGCGCAGCGGCGACCCCTGCAGCGAGTCGAGCCTCAACCTCTGAGAGTCCATGCTGTCGTCTCGTCCCGGGACGCATCAACAACCCCGCCTCGCCCGATGTGAACTGCTCTCCGTGCAGCCTGTCCGTGGATGTCCCTGGGGCCTCTAGGACCAATGTCCTCCTCGTCTTCGCTCGTGACAAACCAAGCATGCAGCCTGCCATCTGTAGGCTCGGACGTCCGGACCCGCCCTCCGCAGCCGGCGTCTGAGCAGGCGCACGTCCCATGAAGACGCCCCTCCCGGCGTCGTAATCCGCCCGCAACCGGTCCCCGACACGACGAACAGCTGACCATCCGCCACCCACACCTCCTCGGACTGGCGGCGGGGAACCGCCACTATGCGCAACTCCGGGTGCCACCGTCCGGTCCCCGGTGTCGAACCTGCCCTCCGGAGTCCGTGCGAGCGGTGGAGGCATCGATCCTGCACTATCTCTGCCGCGGTCGTGGCGTCTGCCGGACCCCACCTCACCTGCACCAGACTCCCTCCCTCTAACGCCACTGAGCGACGAACCCGACCAGTGAGGGCTCACCACTGTGAACGGTGGCGGTGAATATAGCCTCCCAGGGGCCCGCTGCTTGCCGGTCTTGCGGCCCATGTGTGCGAAACGGTCATCCGTCAATGCATGCGCCAAAGCGTCGGCGTCGAAGAAAGTGTGCGCTGTGCCGTCAGGGCGCAAGGGAGGCACTGTGGGGTCCCTCAACACCAAGGCGAGCCTATCTGGATCGTCCTCCGGACCGTGGTCGTCGTCATCGTCGCCGTCCGGTCCATTGTCTCCACCGGCACCCGCGGTATCCCCATCTCCACCGGGTCCACCCTCTCCTTTGTCGCACGCTGCGGCACCCTATCCCTCATCACCCGCGGTCTCGCTCTCGCCACGGCCCCCACTAGGGGACCCGCCGCCCATGACAACATCCTGCGACTCAGGGACACCCGCGGCGGCATCCTGCCCCTCATAATCGAACTCGCCCTGAACCGCCTCCTCAGGGACACCCGAGTCGTCGACGTCACGGATCCCCTCTCCTCCTGTCTCCAAGTCCCTCTGCCGACGCTGCTCGTCGAGATACGCAAACCGACCCTCCCACCGTGGCAAACTACTCAGCCGCTCCTCCTCCTCTCGGTCCAAATGGGCATGCCTCTTCTCCTCAGTCTCAACAGGGCCCCGCTCAACGTCCGCGTCTATGCGCACATCCTGTGGTGAGGCACGTCGACGTCCCTCGACACTCAAATCTGCCAAGCTCCCACCAAGCCCTATGTCCTCGAAGTCCTGTGTGCGGAGCACCGACGGCGAATGGCGGCGGATACCGGCGTCGGAAGGAGTCCTCTCCCCCCCACGATCCTCGCCGTCATGTGTCCGGTCTCTGCCTGCTGCCGACGCCAACCTCTCCGAACGCCTAAGTGGCTCCCCCTTGGACTGTGCGGAGATCGGATGGTAGGAGGGAGAGAAGCGACGATCGCGAAGGTGCATCTCCTCATCCTCGGCCTCCCCCTCCGCCTCGCTGCCGCTCCTAACCTCCCAACGCCTGCTTGTGTGTCGAAGACCTCCCCGTGGTTGCTGCTCCTCCGAGTCGTCCACGCGAACCTCCGCATGCGAACGTCCTCCATGACCACCGCCGACTCTGCTGCTGCCACTCGCCGGCGCGATCGACGACACAGTACCAGTGATAACTCATGTGAATGAATCTGTGCCGTCACGACCCCCACCGTAAGTGAACGGTCCACATCATCCCCACCCTCCGGCCATGGTCGCAGCTCCGTCGCTCTGCTGCCGAACACGTCCCGAACCGGACGGGCTCTGGACGGTCGGCCGTTACGGAAAGCGACAATCTGCCGCTGGATCTCCTGCTCGGAAACACTGCCATCAGGTCGCGCTCCCCACACCTCGGGCTCCACATCTCCCTCCTCATCCTCCTCCTCTGCCGCCGCCCCCCCCCCCGACCACTCCCCATAACCCATGGCAACACATAGCCACCACCCTGTCGTGCGCACGAGGCCAGTTTGAGATTGGTGGCAATCTTAACCAGCTGTGCAAGCTTGGCGAACCCAAGCTTGCGCCTCGCCATGCTGACGCGCTCGTGCTCCGCCTAGTTCCTCTCCGCTGGAGAGGCAGACGTCCACAAGTGCATGACACGAATGGCGATGGTGCGCAACTCCGGGTGGGCACGTCCATGCTCGAACCACCACGCTGCACATCGCTCGGTCTCGCTGTCCCCCCTGCAATCTGCTGCCTCGGCATCGGAGAGGTCACGATTTCCCCAATCCCCTCGCCTCGAGTGGAATGCCCTCATCTGGTCCCTCACGGTCCTGTACAATAACCCGACCGGATCGCCGCCGGTCTGCGCCAGGAGAAATCTGTCGCACTCCTCGACCACAAGTCAGTCCTCGGCGGTCATCTGCAGCGAATGGTAATACGTGAGGGACCGTCGGCGAGGGTTGAGGAGGTGGGCCGCGGCATGTGCGGGCTCCAGCATGTGGAGGTTGCGGATGGCAACCTCACGCACGCACGGATCGATCATGTCCTCAGGCACGTCGACCCTCCTCATCAACTGCAGCAAATGTTGACTCCACTCGTAAACGACGGACATCATTATCCCACCTCTATCCATCCTGTGCAACAGCTGGTGGATGGGCGACATGACTAGGATGGCGTAATGGACACGCTGCCAAAACTCCCCGTCCCGGATCTGCTGCTGCACCCACTGCGCTTGAGATACGTGGGCGCGATCCCATGGGATGCGTGCCCAAGCATCCCCGTGCAACATGCTCTCCAACGCGTCTCGTCGGCCTTTAAGACACGTCAGCATCAGGAAAACCGATGCAAACCGTGTCTCAACGGGCTCGACGAGCTGAACGCAAGGGCTCACCTTCCTAAACAGGGCGTGAGCAGCGCCGTGCGATTTAATAAATCGCACAAGCACTCGAGCGCGGATGATTGTCTCCTTGACCCACACCACTCACGTCCCGATATCTGACAACATCAAGTTGCAGACATGGGTGGAGCAGGGGAGCCAAGTGATCCTCCTAATGTCAGGCTCGGGGTCTGTGGCGAACCTGCGCGCTGCCGCCGTRTAGTTACTGGTGGAGTCTGTGCAGAAGCCGATCACGTCCTTTGCAGGAAAGGACAAGATGATGGCCCGCCACGTACGGTACACGACGTCCGCTGTGTCTCGGACGGACCCATCACGTGCGACGGTGGTGTACAGCAGGGTGCCATTGGCGCCCCCTGCCAGGAAGTTCATGAGCGGCTTGCCGCTGCGCAACTTCCTCCCATCGGAAAGGATAGTGGCACCGCTGTGCCGAAAAGTGGTGCGCACCTCGCTCACCATCGTCGCCACCTTCGCCCTCTGCGAAGGGATACCGGCCCCCGCTGTAATCCTGAAAGAGGGAAACCGGAACTGGATAGAGCGAGGCACTCTCTCTGCTGCCTACCGCACCCTCTTGAACTCAGGACCACGAAAGGCGTTGAATGGCAACTTCTTCACGTGAAACCACTGAAGCCACGCGTCATGGAACTCGGCCAACTTCTCCCTGGCGTACATCTCGACAATCGTGGTCTGCCGAGCCCTCTTCTCCCTGCCCGTGCCTGGCACCTCGACGCCAGCCTGCCCCACTGTCCTCTTCTCCCTCCTCGCGCGGTCCAGCTCATCTCGCGGCGCCCTAGTAGCAAGACCCGCTCCACCGACGCCTCTCGACGTCATCACCACCTCCTCCGCCGGCAGGTTAGGCTCTCCGACTGCCTCGTCTACCTTGTCTGCAACCGCCCCCTCCCTGGCCCCACCCTCGCGGCCCTCCTGAGCCTCCTCCTCATCGAGGGCGTCCTGAATGTCGTCCCTCTCTGCGTCGTCCATCCGCTGTCTCTGGCCACCCGCGGGCGCTCTCGTGTCCCGTATGCCCTCGTCTGCCATCCACCTCTGCACCCGCTGAGCAGTGGACGGCACAAATGTGTAGTCCGTGCCGTTCCAGAGTTCCGCGAGAACTCTCATCCCCCTTGCCTTGTAGAACTTCGACTGCGTGAAATGACGCGCGGCCTTCGACGACCCCCCCTGAAACATGTGGCCGCATAAGTTGCAACGCAACTTTCGGTCCCCATGCATCTTCCACTGGTCCCCGACGTACTAGCCCGCGGTGACGTAGTTCCAAACAATGTTCCCTCGCCTCAACTTCGCCATCTCTCTCTCGAACAGCGGGGTGAATTGGGCACCCCCAGAACCCCCCGCACCGCTGGTCCCTGCACCCCCCGTCATCGCCCCCCCCACTAGGATCCAACAAGTCGAGTCCGCGTCGGCCGATGTCGTATGACTGTGCCGCACCGTCAATGTAGCGCCCCCTCGATGTCGCTGCACCCTAACGCCCCCGCCGCTCCGGCCGCCGAGTCCCCCTGTTGTCTCTCCAGGCTACATCCAACCAGCACCCCGGCCGGCCGCCCTCAACCGGCCTCCCGAGGCGGGCTGCTCCGCACGACCGCCATCGACCGTGAACGGCCTCGCTCGGCCGCGTGCGGCCGGGTTCGGCCGTGATCGGCCGTGGTCGGCCGTGTTCAGCCGCGGCCGGGCACTAAAACGCCGCGCGCTTGGAAAGGCCGCGCGCGGTGACGGCGACAGCCGTGTGGCAGTCGCAGGGCAGCGCGGAGCCGCTATCCCGCGTGCTCGCGCGGCACGCGCCGCTGCAGGGTTTGCACGAAGAAGAAGAAGAAGAAGAAGAAGAAAAAGAAAAAGAAGAAGAAGAAGAAGATCTCTCTTTCTCTCTCTTCCTCTCTCTCTCTCTCAAGAGCCTCTCTCTCACCCTCTCTCTCTCTCTCTCTCTCTCTCTCTCTCTCTCTCTCTCTCTCTCTCTCTCTCTCTCTCTCTCTC